AGGCATTTAGAAAGTAGATTTTCTTTTATCTTTTTCCATATTCTTTTATCTCTTTGAACAATAGAGAACTGGTTAATTTTACTTTTTATTCATAATCAATTTTAGCTCCTGCTACTTTGATAGCTATCATTCCTACTAGAAATGAGAAAATTAAGCCACAAATCTTCATAGATGCCTCATAATCATAATATGAGGTAATCATATTAATTCTATAATAATATTACACTTTCTCTAGATTCACTTTGAAATGAATTCTAACACTAAAATGAATTCTAACATTGTGGTTCCAATTTTAATCACTTCAGTGATTCTGATTTGTTCTTCAAATCTATTTATTTATATAACAATGTGACTTGTATCCAAAAAGTAAGCAAGTTTTGAAAAACCGCACGATGTTGGTTTTTACCGAATTAGTAGCCATCTCGCTTGTCGCTATAAAGACACGATGTTGATTCTGTGGCGAGGACATGAGCCCACCCCGCTTTGCCGAGGAACTAGTCTTTCCCGACCGGCCTAACACCACCTTCCCTCGGTCTCTTTTGCAGCCCCCTGCTTTGTTCCGTTATATCACTTGTCAGCATTTGAAATTTATACAGTTGATAGTTTTAGTTCTTTATTGTCTGTCTCTCTCACCAGACTTGATTAGGGAGGGTCTCTCTTTTTCTACATCTCTCTCTTACGTATAAAACGTATGAAGCTCTCTCCCTGGCCACTCTTTGTGCCTGGCATATGGTAGGCACGCTCACAAGCTAGTTGTCTTAAAAAGATACACCACCGTGATTCACCATTATCTGACCTCCTTTCTCATTGACCAGACCAGGGGTTGCACACATTTTTGGTACAGGGTCAACGAGTCAATATTTTAGGCTTTACCACCTCTGTTGCCTATTCTTTCTCCTCCCACTTCCAATAACTCTTTAAAAACACAAAAACCACTTTTAGCTTAGGGCCGTATGAAAACAGGCTGAGGGTGGGATTTGGCCTGCAGGGTAGCATTTGCCAACTCTTATGCCAGGCTCTAAGTGTCTTCAGAGCAAGCCTGAGTTATGGACCCATTTCTGTCCCCTGGGACCTATCATAATCCTAAGCACATACAGGTTCTCAATAAACCCAGAACTCAGTTGCATTGGGTTAAAGTGATTAGGTCAGGGGCAGAGAAGATAAAAAATTAAATGGAACAGCCCAAATGGTCAGATTTAGAGCAACAGATATTTTGCCACGGAGACCTGGCTTGCGGTCCAGGCCGGATGACTCAAAGGGTCGCTTACCAAGGATTTACGGCTAATGAGAAAAGACAGCTTCTCATACGATCACACGCTCCCTCGCTTGCCTTGGGAGTCACAGACCTCGATACCCTCCACTTCCGAGCAGCGATCCTACTACCGTGGGCCGGTGCCTCCTCTCATATCTACTTAGAGTGCCACTGCCTGGGACCATGAAGAAGAGCTGATGTTTTTCCCAGTGGTTGCTTTTATTCTGTGTTACCGTGCTTTGCTGTCTGGTTCTCTTGTCACCCAGCATTCTCAGAAGGTGCTGGCTTAAAGGTGACATGTCCCTCCAGAGCTAGGCAAACACGGAATTACCTCCATAACCACTACAGATAATTCTCACATGTTGGCCGGGAAACCTTCCTGAACAGTTTTTGGATGGGAGCACTCCCTGATTCTTGCATGGTTCCAAGTCTTGCAGTATGTTGATAATGGATGAAGGAAGGAAAGAAAGAAGGAAGAAGTGGACAAAAACTCTCCACAGCCATGATCATGGCCCCGTCCCCACTCCTGAAACCGTCAGAATGCTGGGAGGTTGCAGAGGCTCCTGAGAGAACCCAGAATATGTACAATGTTTTCCCCGAGGACATTCTTGCTTCCGCACACTCAAGCAAAGTGTGAGGTCAGAGCCGCCTGCCTCGAGAGAGAAGCGCCTCTTTCCTCTGGCATCCAAAATGCTCAGAATTATTACCAGCACCTGCCCTAGTGACCGAGTTCTTCCCGGGCCTGGGAAAGGGGGAGAAAGGAAGGAGAGCAGGGATGTCATCCGGTGTGCTGCCAGGTGCTCACCCTCCATGGAGCAGCAGGGCCAGCCATGGAAGACTGGCTCCATCCCTAGGCACTTCCTTCCTTGTTCATGTTCTTGAGATCTCTGAATAATTCACTGCAATGTTCTTTCAGTAAGTCTCTGCCACCCTGTATTCGCTTCCCTGTCTTCACGGAAAGAAACAAGGGAACAAGTGGCCCCTTGGGTGCTGTAACCAAGCAGGCAGACACTGAAAAAAGGTGAGTGTCAGATGCTTAACTGCGTGACAGAACAAAACACATTGTCCAAACAAGCTTCACTTTGATGCAGCAAGTCCTATGTTTGTTTTAGACACAAGAAAGAAGCAGAAGGGTGAGAATAATATATGTAAAGGCAGGCTGCATGTTGATGATGGAGCAGGAAACAGCATCTAGCCCCATGATTCACAGACGAGGTCATATCCGCCAAGGAGCCACGAGTGCAGGCAGTAATGCTAAGAGACAAGGGGCAAGCAGCCTGGGGAGGAAGAGAGTAACGGCCTGAGGAAAACACTCCGGAAAAAGTAAACTGAACGAATCCCAAAGCCCTAGTAGCTGTTGTAAAGAGTGCCTGTGGGTTCTACATTTCTGAAGAAGAGAACCACAACTAAGTGGAAATGTGACTCTGGGGCTTCATGTTGCACATCTGACTGGGAAAAGCGAAGACAGGAAGGTGGAGAAGGAGCTGTAAGAAACACCGGACCCGCTGTACCAGGGGAAATATTCTTTGGGGAACAGACCTTCCAAAGGAACAGGAACCGCTCTAACACCACGTGTACAGAGGAGGGAGGGCAGGAGCTGGCAGGTGAGTTCTCCCTCAGCCCCGTGCAGCCCTCCTGCTCGCTGCCACCAGAAGAGTCATTGTTGAGTCGCATGAGGAAGACACAGGTGAGAATGAACAATGGCAAGAGTATCTTTTGTCCTTTCATATCTGATAGGATCTGACATCAAGATTTTGGGAAGTAGAATCATGGCTGGAAAACCGAAATAAGTTTCATTTAAAGAGCTGAGATTTCATGCCACTGCGGTTGAGCGTTCCTCTAATTTCACGTTTGCAATTATCCTCCTGTGTGTCCCTCCTTCTGTGTCCTTCTCTCACAGCCACTCTGGGTGGCTTTTGACTGTCAGCACCACCATTCGAGGCAGGGTACAGGCCCCTCTTGCTGGTCTGGGCTAGGGGAACTGCGCCAACCAAATCACCCAGGCACCTGTCCAGGGTCATGAGAGATGAACCAAGAATGTAATCAGGATCTGGGGTCGGGTTACCAGGCTAGAAGCAGACTCGCTGGGATCAAGATGGTGTGCAAAGTGAATGTGGCAAATAGGAAATGGGATCTCACAAGGGAATTAGGACTCAGAATGAAAAAAACAAAACGGCAACACATAAGGTGAGAATCAAAAGTGGTGGCTGGAAGAACCAGTAGGGCCACGTAAGATGACCAGCAGAGAGGAGATTGCCAGGAGGCCTTGACTGTGAGGCTTCCTCTTCCACCTCGCCCTGTATTACGGGTTAAGCTCCATATGCGAATGTCTCCACAGGACTTAACAACCAGATCCCCAGGGTACATATGAGGAAAGAAAGCAGAGGGAGGCTCGTCCCAGTGATCTGAACATCATGTAACTAGTTGGAGGAACACCCAAGATTAAAATCTCTTTTTATCTGTGCATAGAATGAATACACTGCGATATGCTTGCATTCCTCAGGTGCATTTAAAGAGATGATCCCAATGCAGGACTAGCTATAGAGTAGAAGCCCAATGTGAAGCACTTCATGACGAGGTGTTTATCATTGGGAAACACCTCAAAATCAGAGCCAAGGCTCAGTTATCTCTATGCAGATTATACCATGGTATTCGAGGCTTTCTGTCTCTGTCTCTTACTGTCTGTTGGTGTGAAGTGGGTAAGACAAAGGAATTTAAAAACTATTTTTTTAGTCTAAGCAAATCGCAACCAAGAATGTCCGTCTGCTGGGGAAACAAAAATCCCCAAGTCAATGGCTTTATACTGTCTGATGGCCTGGTTAAATAGGGCCAAGGCTCCTCTTCCTGGAATAGTTTATTAAGGTCTACGGTAGTTTTATCCACTGAATGAAGTCAAGCCAAGCCCGCTGCTTTTCTGTAATTTGATTTGTGAGAGCTGGAACTACGTGTCTTCGGCTTAAAGACTGGGCATTTTGCAGAGCAAACCTGGCACCATGGGTTAATAATTTTTATATAACCAAAAATAAATGAGAGAGACTTCAAATTATCCATCAGGAGAAAGGTGGACCAAAGTTTACTGACTCGCTGATTAATGTAACACAATAAGCATTTAAATATGGCTATCTGTGGAATAAAAATGAAAAGTGACACCGGGGATACATTCCAACTTGTCTCACCTTTTACATATCTATTATGTGTTATCAAAGATGTAGTCTTTTCCCTTAACAAGGATGATAACCACATGACCAAAACAAGTATGTTTTGAATAATCCTGAAAGTTTTGGAACCTCATGCTGGAAAGATGCTTTGAAATAGGAATCTGGAACCCTGAGTTCTTAAACTCCGGGTTTCTCAAACTCAGCACTATTGACAGTTTATACCCAAATGATTTTGTTGTTGTTGGAGTGCTGTTCTGTGCATTGTAGGATGTTTAGGCAACCTCCCAGCTCTCTACCCACGAAATGCCAGTAGCAACAACCACCATCCCCACTCCCCTCCTGCTCAATCGTGACAATCAAAAATGTCTACGGACACCGCCAAACATCTGCCGAGGGGCAAATTATACGTGGTTGAGAACCACTGGTCTAGAGATATTTTCTCTTTAAGACCACGCGGTAAATATACTAAAGTAAAAGGGATCACAGCAGGGCACTAAAGGTTTTCACAGCCATTATTACATACGGTTTAGTACATGGATGTACATGCAAATGAATGTAGGCTGACGTGCTCATAGCAAAAGTATACTCACTGTGTACAAGAAAACAGAAATCTTTCCACATCAGCAGCAGAGTGAGTTTTGTAAAGCCTTCTGCATCATATTCCACGACACCTCTGGGTGATAAGAACACACACACAAAGAAGAAACCCTCATAAAAACAAGGCAGAAAAGAGATGTAAAGAATAGATTCCTAGAGTCACGGTGACTGAATCCAAGAGGCATTTAAGGTGAGTGTTACCACAGAAAGGACGTGGGATTTGGAATGGCAGCATCTACATTTATGTTACAGCTTTGCCATTTACTACCTATCACGACTCCAGGCAAATCACTTAACCTTTGGAGCCTCAATTTCCTCATCTGTAAGACAAATAGAACAATATTTTCGAGCTTCGTTACAGGGTCGTGAAAAACAAGTAAGATAGACCATACAATGCTACGCAAATGCTGGTTATGAGTAAAAGGACAAATTAAGCAATCAGGTCAACAGGGACACTGCTGTCTGGATGGTGATTAAGACCCACTTTCACTCAGGCACTAAAAAGCAATGAGCAGTGACAACGTTACTAAGTCTGGGAGTCTATGTTAGTTTCTTCCAAAGTACTTGGAACCCTTTCACTTGTGTCCCCTGTCCTCCCCACCGGGCTCAAGACAAAGTAGCCACGTTAGCTGGGTGGACACTGGTTCAGGTGGGAGATGCACAGGACGGGTGTCAAGGAGAACAGCCCCCGACTGCTAAGGGCCTGGCCAGAATCCTGATAGGCTAGCCTCCCCCGTTCCCCTCAAGAGCTGAGTGCTTGGGAGACGTGACCATAAGGTGACAATACTAGCCACACAGAGGACAGGCATAATCTTCTCTGTGGTGTGTGCTATCTCCCTGGCTGAGTCAGGCCAATCAGACTGTCGATACCAATGGCCTGCCAGTTTCAGTAGGAAGGGTGAACTCATCATAAGGGCAAAGGGAATTAGGACACTAAAGACTGAGTGATTTGCTCAAAGACTGTTGGCACATCATTCAGATGACTTAGGTCAATAATTTTAGTCACCAGTTTATATTTCTTTTCGTGAATTTCTAATCAACTCAACATGTTAAACACCGCTATCTAAGCTTTTTAGATCCGCCATGCTGTACGTAAAAACAAGCACAGAATCCTTTCCATTATGCATACAGTACAGTAATAGAATAGTATTTGCCCAGGATTTAGTAGTTGTATACAAGTACTACTATATTACTGTATTATATGCATAATAAAACATACACAAAATGTATATTAAAAAAGAGATTTTCAAAAAAGATGTAAATGCGAATTTTCCGATTTTTCTTGGGCGCGAATGGTTATGAGTGAGGTGGGGTGTGTGCCCCCTACTTGGGAGGTTACTGTGTTAGCTCCTTCATTTTTCATTCTATATTCTGAAGATAATTTCCTCAAAAATTAGAAGTCCAATGGTGCCATTTACTAACCACTGTTTGTATAATAAGAACTTTTTCAAAATGTTCATAAGTAAAGCTGAAAAAAAATCGTTGAGTATTAAAGGCTTATGTGAGAGACAGTCACACTGTTTAGATATTGACAGTTCTATTTTGGAGGCATAAAAAATTCCACTATGTATAATGAGAAAATTTCTTAAAATTGTTTTGAGGAGTCAGAAATTTTGCCTATAATTATGCTACAGTTTATAAAATTATATCCCTGGGAATGGCCAACCTTATTCTTTGTTTTGCCCGCTCCTGCCTAGTCCCAATTTTTTTGGTCCCAATTTCTTCACTTCCTTGTTTAAAATCTTAACTTTGTGTGACTATATATATCTTTCTATCTTTATAAACCTTCTCTGGAACAAGGTGGGCTATAAGCAGATCGCTAACACCCTTAGTGCTCAGCCCCCCTGAATGGGTAGAGCGTTCCATCTTTTGAAGAAGACTGTGGGGAAAACACGGTCCCTCTGCCCTTGAGCTAAGCCCTGGGCAGAAGCTCAACCAGGCCTCAGACGCCATTTAGGAAAACAGAGCTGCAGAACATCAGGCCACCGGCAACCTGAAGGAGGGGGCCAGCCACAGGGGCGGCAGCAGGAGGAGACGCACTCCCCAGCCCCACGCCTGCTTTCCCCTCTCTGTGCCTTCTTCCAACCCCTAATCCCGAGTGTGAGTCGCTGCTTTTGCATTGTCTAACGCCGGCTTTCCTCCCTGAGGAAAGCCTGCCTGAGTCCCGAGAACCAGGGTTCCCGCCCTGGCCCTGTCTCTTCCGGGCAGGTCACAAGACTTCTCAAAGGTCCAGGGCTTTCTTCAGTCAAACGTGCCAATAATGCCCACGTGGCTCCCTCCCTCACAACTCCAGGGAGCAGCTGGAGGTGTGTGCTGTGCACACTGCAGAGAGCTCAAGAACAAGCAGGCCTCGCTGCCCTCGTTACTGCTGGGCTTGGGGTTAGTCGTGAGGCTGATCCAAATTCTGCTCCACAATCAATAACGCGATTCTGATACGTAGCAAAATCCTAAAAAATGTCTTCCTGGGAGCTTTAGCTTAAGCAACATACCAAAAAGAATCAAAGTGGCACTGAAAAGCTATTCCGTACAAGAGCAAGCTGCTATTTTCTCAATCAAGCTCTCGCGTTAGGGCCATCAGGACGGGAGGACATTGCTGGTACATGGTTTAAGCACAGAGGAACTTACGTGCCGAAGTGACTGAGGAAGGCAGCGATATACTCCCTTCTTTTGTGGTATCCTTGAATCACATACTGCACCTGAAACAGGAACCCAAAGCTGAGGAATAGGGAGTTTTCAAATGCTATTTTACAAAGCATTTCGAAGATTCAGGGAGTAGAAAGAATGGTTAAATGAATGCCCATATTCCTGCCACCTGTATTCAACAACTATGAGTATTTTGTCTGGTTGCTTCATCCAGCCATCTACCTCCCTAACAAGCTATCAGTCAATCTTGCTGAAACATTTCAAAGGAACTTAGAGACACCATGGAAGTTTCTCCCTAGATACTTGGGCATGTACCTCCAAAAAATAAGATATTTTCCTACATAGCCACAATGTTATGATCGTACCCAACAAATTATCAGCCATTTTCTGACTTCATCTAGTGCCCCGGGCGTTTTCAAAATATCCCAATTGTCCCCAAAATGTTCTTTTAAAAGACAGGGCATACTCAAGGATCAGGCATTTAATCTAGAAAGTCTATTAATGTAGATTAGTAGGACCGTGTGTGCATGTGTCCATGCCTGCATGCACATATATGATTCTGACTTTTCAAAGAGATTGGGCTAGTTGTCTTATAGAATGTTCTGCATTCTAGACTCTCTGATTGTTTCCTTACTCCCTGTATTTGTCCTCTACTCCCTGTATTTCCTATTAATTGGAAGTTAGACTAAAGGTGTGACTAGATTGGGGGTGCCTGGGTGGCTCAGTTGGCTAAGCGTCCAACTCTTGATTTTGGCTCAGGTCATGATCTCAGGGCCATGAGACTGAGCCCCGTGTAGGGCTCTGCACTGACAGCATGAGGTCTGCTTGGGATTCTCTTGCTCCCTCTCTCTCTGCCCCTTCCCTAATCACATGTGCCTGTGCATTCTCTCTCTCCCTCCCTCCCTCTCTCTCAAAATAAATAAACTTAAAAAATAATGTGTCTAGACTAGATTCAGGTTAAATATTTTTGGCAAAACAACTCCATAAGTGATGGTGGGCTTGATCACTGATTTAGGTGACGACAGCAGGATGACAGCAGGACTAATCCATCGTAAAGGGAGGTTCCCCCTTTGCTGCCGCTGGCAGTGACCCCTGGGTATACCTCTCGAGGCATGAGAAGACCTAGTCCCCTCTCGATCTTTTACCTCACGGTTTCGACCTGTTGGAGATCCTTGTCTGAATCAGATTTTTCATTAGGAGCCGAAAAGTGGTGATTTTTAAAAATTCTAACCCTCCTTGTGTACTTACCATCTGGAATTCTCTGTAAAGAAGAGTTTCCTCACATCTAATGGGGGCTATTTTATCCTGAATTACGACTCCTATTGAAAAGGCAGGATAATGCTTAATTCTTTCTTTTCAAATTCCTAGTATTCAGAAGAAGGAGTGTTACAATAGATTTTATTTTGCCTTTTCAGATTTCCTTATTATCACCAAATGACCGTTTTTATTTTTTAAAAAATTGTGAACTTATTAAGCTGGGCATCTGAAAGTTAGTCATTTACCCATCAGCTACTAACACAAAAATTCATTCCTTATAATGTCCTCACAACGGCTCAAAGAAATGGGGCGGGGCGGGGGGAAGCGGCCCCCCAAATTGTTTTTATTGGCTATAGCCACAATGAGTTTCCATGGCTAACAAAAGCTCGAGATAAAGTGCTTGAAATAACCTTGACACAATTGGTAGTGATAGCCATTTTGTACCCTTTAAAAGTAAAACAATTCTATTTATATAATAGGGGTTTATGTCAATTTATAAAAACAGTGCTTACTTTGCAGGCTTAATGCAGGATCAGAAATGTTATTTTGGGAAAAGAAAAACAGATGATAAGTTTGCTTAAGTGGCTTTGTTTAAAAAGGGGATGAAAACAGTTCTGTGTACTTGATTTTAAAAACAGAAAACCATTTTAACAGAAACCCACAACAAAACTGGCTATAAAGATAGATTCCCATGTAATTATGGAAATTCATTTGAAGAGATTGTTTCTAAAAGCAGCCCATACTGTCCTCGTTTGTAGCAAGCATAAGAACATCAATTTTAAAAGACAAGTAAAATTAATGAAAGGGAACCAGATAAGAAAAACAAACCGATTCTTGTATTTCTGGGAAAATGGTAATACAATTTTTTGGAGAAAAATGTATGACTAGAAATTAATCTCAATTGGAGAGCTTTAAAAAAAGGCTTTTCTTCTCAATTCTGGAAGACCAAATTTGCATGTTTCTCTAAAATACTGGGACACAGATTTGAAGGCAGTGTAAAGTCCCACAATGTAAATAAGAATTCTATCCTCCGATCAGTCCTCAAGGAGGGCAGTGGCTGGGGGAATTTGGTCCAATGAGAAGCGTCCACTTCACGAGAGTTAGATGCCCTGGAATCTGTGCCAAGCCCACAGACTGCAGAGTCGCCAGATTTTAGGTTCTCTGACATTTAAAAACTAATACTGAAGACTCTGAAATATTATTGTACTTTTAAAATATTTTCTATATAGAGATGAGCCATCTTTTGAAAGAAAGAGACAAACAAAAGATTTATTTTCCAAGCCTATGTGAACAAGTCAATAGGGGCATAGAAAACAGTACTTTTGAAGTTAAGTGAACTGAGTCAGTCCATGTAGAAGAAGAGAGTAAATCAGTATTGCCTGTGGATTAACACGTCCAGTATTTAGCTAAATGCACTGGCTGGACATGAACGAGCATATTCTTATGCTTTTTTAAAAGTATCTAACAATAGCCATTAACGTAAACTCAGCTACTTGGCAGTGTAATGGCTCATAAATGCAGCTCAGGGAAAGCTTTCGATAATCTGATGTGCTGGGTTATCGGACCGGCTGACCTGGAGATCTCGCCCTGAGGAGCGGGGCTCTGGCAAACTGCTCCTGGACAGGACACGAACAATCAGGAACTCACTACTAAAAAGTGAGGTACAGAAAAACAGAAAGAGCTGAAGGCAGCTCTAGTGAATTACCTTGATGCTAGCCAGTGGCAACACCCCC